CGAAGTACAATGAATTAAGCACCAAAAAAAAAAAAAAAAAAAAAAAAAAAAAAAAAAGGTGGCTCTAGGGAGGCCAAGGAAAGTGTGAAGGAAGTGACCCTTGAACCAAAGCTTGAATCAGGCCAAGAACGGGTGGTGGGGTGCTCTAGGCAGGAGAACAGCATGTTCCAGGGCACAGGGGCATGAAAGGTCACATGTTTGGTATTTTCATGGTAAGGATCTTTGCTGCAAACATTTTCAACACCTAACTAATTTGTCTTAAAGCCATTTGGCCGTAAAAGATAAAATCACGGAAAATAAAAGAGGGACATTCATGTAAGAGGACATAACAAAACATGAAAAATGAATAACAAAATCAGAAAAACTATTATAAAAAATAATTGAATACATTTAAAATGTGTGTAGATTCATGCCAATTCTATGTAAATAACTGATTTTATTTCGTGGATTGTACCTAAGTATTTGTCTTCAAAGTCTTTCATTCATAGTGTTATACTTTTTTTTTTTTTTTTTTTCTTATTGATGGGTCTCCTCATTCTTTCTTTACTAAAGCTTCTTCCTCATTAAGAGAGGTATAGTTTTGAGGTGACTGGCTGGCTCAGTTGGTAGAGCATCCAACTCTTTTTTTTTTAATAATTTTTTTAACATTTATTTATTTTTGGGAGATAGCACAAGTGGGGGAGGGGCACAGAGAGAGAGGGAGACACAGAATCTCAAGCAGGCTCCAGGCTCTGAGCTGTCAGCACAGAGCCAGACGCGGGGCTCGAACTCATGAACCTTGGGATCATGACCTGAGCCGAAGTAGGATGTTTAACGCACTGAGCCACCCAGATGCCCCTAGAGCATCCAATTCTTAATCTCTGGGTCATGAGTTCAAGCCCCACATTGGGTGTAGAGCCTACTTAAAAAAACATAAAAGAGAGAGAGAGGTATAGTTTCCAAATACTAGGATGCATATTTGTAACAGAGTTTTGTACTACACTGTGAAAGTGTATTGCCTCCTATCCTGTTGTTTTTTCTTGGAAGATTGTCACATGTCCATTGATAGCTGTTCCAAAGTTCTATGGGAAGCGTGGGTTCAAAATTCTACACGACTGTATAGACCATCATGAAGACTAAGATTTATAGAACGTAAAACAGAGCACCATGTCAATGGAGAAATGAAACCAAACTCAACCAGTTGTTAAAACCAGCTGTCAACCAATTATTTTTTTAGCCTTGCATGACAAAACTACCTTCCGGCCTAGTAGTTATGCAGCAAAAATGCTTATAGCAAAGATGTTTATGGCAAAACTACCTAGAACCAAGACATCAATGTATTCTGGGCACATACAATTACAGAAACCAGAATATGGGGCCCGAGGGGCCAGGCAAGCTAGGAAGGAGGTGCCAGAATGGAGGATGTTTCTTAGGGTGCTGACAAGCTGGACCTGCCTAAGGGTATTTGGCGGGGGGGGGGGGGGGGGGGGGGGGGGGGGGGGGGGGGGG